ATGTCAGAAATATGTGAGAGGAGGCGGAAGAGAAGGGGCAGTTCAGGGGTATTGCCATAACTGTAAAGTTGCATGCAATTAATCAATTAAACAAAAAAAAAAAAAATGCAAGTGTGTTATGGGTTCATAGGGTATCACTCGGTCTCTTCGTCATGAATAATCACTCGGCCTCTATTAAAACCTGAAGTATTCCTCCGAACTTGCTATATAAACACCTTGAACATCTAAAAACCATAACGCATGAGCTTATTAGTATGCTAGTAATGTTTTGTTGGTGGAGTAAGGCGCAGTAGGCCTAGTAGGCCCTTCTGCGGTGGAGAGCGCAGGATATACCGGCAAAGTTCGATTTGAATCCATGCGGATGGGTCCATCACTAGTGCAGTATGTACTGCGCTCTGATATTTCTCTCTAGATATATCGGCAGAGTAGTAGTGTAGTGTTTCTATCCTTGAGCGTGGCAGAGGTTTTGAATGGGTATAGAATATAGGTTCATGGACTATCACCCGGTAGTTTTGACACTGGCCGACTTGGGGTAACTGTTTTATCCCGCCCTAGCTATCGTATTAGAGCAAGCAACACATGTACGAGGAAGCGAGATGGGCTGCTGTTTTACGGGAATGAGGTCACCTTTTTGTGGAGGAGGTGAGGCCGGAAGAGGGGCGGTATAAAGTGCGTTCTCCTGTAGCTCCAGGCCTCCGCCCATCCCTTCCGGGTCTGGTTTGCGTTATATAATGGCGCTGCTTGCCCCCCTCTATCTCTGTGTTATCGGGCTTTGATTGTGTCGACGAGGGAAGTTGAGGGACTGGAGAGAAGCGTCGGTCGGTCGGGCTGGTCACGGAGGTTCTGGTTCTGGTGGTGTTGACCTTGAAGCTGCGCTGTGCCTTATCGTGAATGTCCATACCCCACATGTGCGTACACTAAGGGGGAGTCTAATGTCATATATCTGGCCCTCACCCAGTGGACACGGTGGTAGGGCCCAGTCGAGCTATTTGGAAGAAGAAGTCCATCAACCATCACCAGTGTACTCTGGCCAGTACTACACAAAAACATGAATTCAAAGCCAATCGTTAATCAATTAATCATATCAACCAGTATATACGGGCCAAAACTACAGATGCCACTCTACTTCCAAACATCAACTATAAGATACGAGCTACAACAGCTTGAGCTTACCGTCTTGCTTAAATCACCCATCTTTCGATTGAATCTCACTCTCACCCGCTAATACTGACGGCGTTGCAATGGTGCTAGAAATCTCAGGACCGAAAGGGGGAAGAGGTTGAGTCATAGAACATCACTCGTATTCAGAGACCTCAGATATTATATTAGAAAGGGCAGGCCAGGTTGTTCAAGCTTTTGGTTTTGTATAAGACAGCGAAATTAAGAGCACATCCACTCATACTGAACCCTCCGCCTTTGGTGACAAATGCCCAACACCAAGCCTAGCGCGCCACTAGCTAGCCAGAATTTTATTCGAGGATCACGAGCTCACCACATCAACCACACGGCCGCACCTCCGCCGCGCCCCAAACACAAACGGAGGTAATGACGTATCGGCCGGTACAAAGCCCACCTCCGCACGCACACTTCCCAGCTGAAAAGAAAGACCACCTTCTAACCTACATACACACTCCCCCTTACCCCTTACCCCTTGCCCCTTGCTTCCTGCGTAGCCCGGCGCCATCCCTGGATCCCGCTCATTGCCGCGTGCGGCCCTTACCTCGCTGCAGCACATCACGGGACGCGTCCTTATCTTGCATTGTGTTTTGTACCACCGCCGCCGCCGGGGAGGAAATCATGTGTTCTCACTCGTTCATTTGGCATCAGACGGTTTGTACTATGTAGTAGCTGCATGCGGCGGACCACCACCACCAGGTGGGCAAACAATGGGTGGGGGACCGTACCCGGGATGCAGGTGCCCGCCGTCGGGTGGCTGTACATGGCAGCGGGAGGGAGGGAGGGAGGGTCGCCCGGTGGAGGTAGGTTGGTATGGCATGTATTGCAACGGGGATGTATGTACACGCCCGGGTGCGTACACGGTCTAGGCTGGCGAACCACACAGTCCAGAGCGAGCGCAAACCCGGGCACTCACACAGACGCACGGCGCTTGTGTAATTGTTAATGAAATATATACGCATGGCTAGACACAGCAGTGATCTTCCGTCCCTGATCTGATCTCCCGGTAGATGTTCGAGCTAGAGTACCTAGCAGTAGATAGATAGATATGCGCAGATTGATTGTCCACCGTTCTGACAACCGGCTAGACTCCGAGAAGTGAGGGCACGTACGTCAATCAGCAGTCTCTGTGCCAGCTCTGTTTCGAACGCGGCTGGCCAATGATCTCACCTCCGTCCCAGGAGATCGCGGGAAACACACACAGGCAAATAAGAGACGCTATATATAACCACGGACGGGTATCATCCAGAGCTAGTAGTAGAGTACCTATGTAGATTAGAGGAATATCCTCAGACCTGCATAGGGGGAGCGCCGGATCAGCCATGAAACACCACACTGCTGAATTAAACACCTCAGCCCGATGATCGTCGCAGCACACACGGGTTTAGTAAACAAATTGCATTGCAGGCGACGTGTCAAACGAAACAAAACCCGCACAGCTAGCAAGCATGGGAGTGCAGAAACCCAAACCCTGAGGGAGCGGGATCGCGGCGAGGCAGATCCTACTGAGTCGCGGGAGGTAACGAATTAAGCTGGTGGATGGATGGATGGATGCGTGGGGCCCTCCTCGGCCAGACAAGCGAGCGCCACTCCACCCATCCGCCCGGCGCGCGGGCGCGGGGAGACGATCGGAGCGGGTAGAGCTGTGGAGTAGGTACCACTAGATACATGTAGCTACTTCCTACACAAGCGCCCGTCCGTCAATCCGTCCGCACCACCGTCACGAGAGGGGGCGACATGAAAGAAAAGAAAAACTCTTCTCTGCGGTGATGCCTGTGATGAAAGTACAAGACCTTGCGCACGCCCGGGCGACGGTCTGTCGGTCGGCCGGCGTGGGCACACACGCGGAGTGTGGTCGGTGCTACCGTGGGCGGTGGGCACGGTTACAGGTCCCGAGGGGAGAGGCTGCAGAGGGGATCGTCAGTGGCAGTTGAGATAGAGAGAGAGAGAGAGTGGGTTCAACTTCACTGCCGAGACATGTGTTTGCATGCATGCAGACAGACAGCCAGCTAGACGGGTTGAAGATTTTGGGGAAACGATAGCGGATAAGAAGAGTAGAGCCCTAACCCAGGAATCAAGCCTTCCGCTCTGTCTCTGGGTGGACAGACAGTCTACAGGGCAGAAAGACAGAAAGACATAGTTGCACCTGAACAGAAATTGGTGGATAGACACTACATTCCACTCTGCTTACAGAGCCAGTGGAGGGGAGAGCCTGCCTGTAGACCATGTACCCAAATCTCCACCACTTAGCTCGCTCTCGTCTCCGCTCTCTCCCCCCTCACACACTGCCCTCCTGCGAGTGGTCCCTGCGTCCCACCCCGTCTGCGTGTGTTTGTCTGCCTTTAGACTCTGTGCAGCAGCTGTGAGTGGGCTCTTTACCGAGCGGTGAGTTTTTCGGCTACTCTACATAGGTGCCCCCACACTCAACGTCTGTGTTGTGTGAGAGACTTTAGGTGAAGAGGTGATGGTCTGTCTTGCGTTGATGTAGCAGACAAACAGACAGACAGCTATGTAGAGACAGGGTTGGTGTCGTGCTTTGTGCACCGAGACACACCCCGACCGTTGCATGACGTCGCGCATTGGCTGACGATCTCTCCCCCCCTCACGTCCAGAAGGAAACCCAACAGTTTGCAAATCTCTGTCCTGTTGTGTCGAATCAAGATCTTGACCGCTCTACCTATCGATTTGAATCTCCCTCCCTTCAACTTCTTTTTCCCTCAGCCGATAGTGACGTCTATCCATCTGTAACAGGCTCTGTCTGTTTACGCCTCCACGTATCGGTGCAAGATCTGTCTCTCGCTTGCACATACCTGCATCCCGTTTCCATGGGCCGCGAATAAACTGCTCAAGCTTGACTGGGTGCCAATCACTGTGGTCTGCCCTGTTCAATTGCAGAGCATGGAGCTGCCGAGCGGGGGGATAGGAGAGAGGGAGAGCAGCCACTACCATCGATCCACCCGTGCGGTGCGGGCACTGGCAGCGGTGTAAACCTAAGGTCGGCGTCCCTCTTTTGGGGGGGGGGTTTTTCCTTGCTGTGCTGAGGATCCCCCCACCGCCACCACCACTCCACTCACAGCTCTTCTTTCTTGCGCTTGTCGACCTTGGCGTTAATCTTACATGTATTTATTCCCCGACGAACCCCCCGGCCTAGCTTGCTTGGTCCGTGTGCTGTGCAGCAGAGTACATACTACTACAGTCTTGGGTGGAGATATAACTTACACATCACAGGTTGGTTGTCTGCACCGTCCGCGTGGTTATCGGTTCCGCGCTACAGTCAAACTTTTCGTTCGTTTGTTTCCAAACCCCACCAGTACTACCCCTCCAACCAGCGGCAGCAAGGCTGGCTGGGTGATTGCTGGCTGTGTCGAACCCCACAGTTCAAAACACATACAAACAGCTTAGTCTACTCCACTCTACCCTCAGTCTATCTGTCCATCCCGGGGAAGAAAAAAAAAGAAAATCTCCACACGGTTAGCCTGTCGCTCTTCGTCTATCTGGCACCACGACCACCAAGTCTAGGCCCCCGCGATATATTATAAACAGACAGAGACCACCCCGTCGAGGGCACTTTGCATGGGGACAACTGCCACATACACTGCACGGACGCAATACTACTACTTAATAGACCGCCTTGCCTACTCCTCCTTCTCCTTTTGATACAGCCTGATCTCCGTTGCATCATCATCATCATAGAGACCCTTTCAGCATCATCATCAGAATCATCACCTTCAGACCTCACGATACAACTTCGACATCATCCATCAGCGTCTTCTTCAACATCATACCACTGCCACTTATCATCCGACAGATACCCATGTTCCGCCATGTCCCGCAATAATTCCGTCTCAACAACTGAAACATCGTGCAGCGGCTACACCTACCCCTCCGCCCTCTACCCACTCTCCACCACCTCAACGTCGACCACCCTGACTACGATTTCCTCCACAACGTCCCGAGAGAACCGAGTCATTTCCGACTTTAATCCCACCCTCCTGCTCTACATCCCCTCCCACGGGGGTCTGCGCGCCCGCAAGGCCAGCGCCGAGCTCACCATCCATGACGTAACCACGCATCTGCCTGGCTACAACCATCACACAAACTCGGTCCCCGACACCGTCACAATGGCGCAGATCAAGAGCGTTGTTGCTGCGCGCCGCTGGGAGTCCGGCGACGCCAGGGTGCCCACGCTCGTGTCGCGCCGCAACGGAAGCCTTTCATCGCGCAGCACAGTGCTGGCACCTGGAGGCATTGAGGCCGCAGAGTGGAAGGTACCGTGGGATGTGATGAAGCCCGCGAACATCACGCTCAAGGGCAACGAGGATCGGCGGGTGGAGGTGTGGTGCGGGCGCGAGGATCGCAGGGCGCAGGTGTGGTCCGTGGGGCGGGAGAGGTTCGTGTGGCGCTGGCTGGAGAGCGGGGAGTTGGTGCTCGAGAAGGAGAGTGAGGAGATGGGAAGCCATCAGATTGGCGCATTCCTGTTTGCGGTAGGTCTTTTTTTCTTTCTTTCTGTTCTCATGATTGGGGTTAGTTTGTGGGGCGAGTGCTGATCCGTCTGTTGTAGCATCACTCGAAGAATTCGTCGTTTGGCCCGCTCATGACCACCGGCGGTACGCTGATCCTGGATGAGCGCGGATTGTCGCGGACGATCGCGGTCACGAGCATGCTGATCCTCCTCAAGCGGGAGAGACAGCGACGCAGCATTGGCGGGCGAACATTCAGGGCCGAAACACCGAGGGCTCGGCGTGAGAGCGTCTAAACAGCAACACGGCTACCTATTAGTGCTGATAATTCCTTATCTCTGATTTATTTATTTTTTTCCTTTTTTATTTTTGCGTTTCGGATCTGGGTTCTGGTTTGGTTTTGGGCGGGCTTGGGTGGGGGGGAGCATATTTCGGGGTATTTCTTTTTTCCATTTCGATTTCCACGGCTATTACTACTACTACTACTACTACTACTACTACTACTTTTGGCATATCATATCCTATCATTGGAGGAGCGTTGATTTTGAGCTTTTGGGATTCTCGGCGTTACTGTTTTTTATTTTTTATTTTCTTATTGTTTATTTTTTTTTCTTTTTTTCCAGCTGGCCTTTTTATTATTTTTTTTTTTCCATTTCTTTCTTTTCCTGTGCTGCGCTGCGCTGGAAAAGGAGAAGAAGGAAAAAGCAAAAGCGGATTTCGCATTGTTTTCTCCGGCAATCGGGGGCCGCTGGTGCGGTCATCTATCTGTCTATCTGTCTAGCTGTCACCTTTATGTATGCAGGGTGGGGTGATTGTCTGCCTACTACCCCTCTTCCTCCTGCCGGACACCTGGCTGTCTATCTGTCTGTAAATACCCTACCATCAGATTGATTGCATCTGTCTATCCTCTCCCTTTCGTCGCCTCTCCTTTGTTTTTGTTTTTTTCTTCTCTTAATTTCTTTTCTCGCCGGCCGGACGCTACCTAGTTTGGGGGGTAGGTCGGTGCTGAATATAAAAATAATGACTGTGTGTCCAATCCAATCCAATCAATCAATGATGTCCCTGTGCCGAACAATGGTTTGTTTTCTTGACTTGGGCGGGGAAGGAAGGAGGAGGAGGAGGTACGTACACGTTGCCTTGACCGGTGGAGTCGTGGCAGGTGCTGGTGGGAGGTGGAGTGGGTGCGTGTGGGGCTTGGCCGAGTGATGGGGTGTGATGGGGTGTGTGGGGGGGGGAGGTGGGTGATGTAAGCGGGTTATGTAAGCAGAGGTGGGTGGGGTGTGGAGGTGGCGGTGGCTTGGGTAGTAGTGTGGGGTGGGGGATGGGTATTGGTGTAGCTCGGGCTTGGAGTCGGGGTTGATGTGTGTGGAGTATCTGTGGATGCGCCTTATGTGCTTTTGTTAATATAGGCCACATGGGGTATCTTTTTACTTCTGGCCGCAGGAATAGAAGATGTCATAACTGAAATAAATGCATATATGTACGTTATTTGATATATATTATATTCGCAGAGTATGCGTCTACCGAACTGACTTACGTTACTTTAGGGTTCTGCCTCCGGCCGAGATCCCATTGCAAATTTGCAATTGAGTCTGGTTGTGGTGGTGGTGCTATGGCGGCGGGGTGTGTAGAGAGGATGGGACGAACAGTGGTCTGGCCGAATAGAGATTAGGAGCACGGGTGAGTTGCGTAGACTAGGTGCAGGCCTCCGATTTATCTGGCTGTAGCTCGCGGGTTGATCTGTGCTTTGCGCTGCTGGCTGTGGATCTTTAGAGGCTTTCGGGTGTCTGTAGTGCTCTGCATGGAATTGTTGGTGACAGGAGCTATGGTCGGTATCTGGGCCTCCATTCCCCTAGTCTAAGATCTAGCTCGGCGTGTGAGATTGCTGTTGCTCTGACGCCAGTGAAGTGTGTTGGCGCTTTGGCTTAAGCTGTAGCCTGTAGCTAGGAGTGGATCTTCGAAGGTGGTCGTCGACCTAGTCTACCGTCCTGGGGGCAGGTAATCTCTAGTAATGTACTTCTAATGCCCTGATGGTGTGTGTAGCTATATTGGGTGCATTTACGAGTAAAACCATCGCGGACGCCAGAGTTAATCATGGACTATCACTCGGAGGACATTTGAAGTGGTTGTGAGCGGGTCGTCGCCTGGCGGTATGGTGGGCTGTGGTATGGCTTGTATGGTAGGAGTAGGAGCTGGTGGTGTAGGGCATTATAGTAGTGGTGCGGTTAAGGTTGGGTTGATTTGTGCCTGATCGATGTGTCGTTGCAGTTGTGGTTGTACGTGTAGGCGGTGATGGAAGTTGGGTCGGGCATTCAGCTGGGTGCTTATACATGCTGTGAAATGGGTGTCTCTCCCTGTCGATGCGAAGTTGGGTCCAGGTGTAACGACATACTTCGGTACATACTTGTATTACGACCGTCATAGATCGCGGGGTAAGGGTGTCGTGCTATAGTAGGAAAACCGTCCGCACAGCCAAATCCTTATTCCGAAGAACCACACAACCAGTAAGCTCCAAATTTTCCTAAAGCTCAGAGAACCTTGGTGGGAGCCCGGAATTAAATCTTCGGTCATTGGTTCCATCAATTGGAGCCTGTAGAGTCCCGTATCGAACTGGTGAGGCCTTGCTGCGTTGCCACACGTGTACCTTTTGCTACATCGACACCCATATTCTGGCCAGCGCTGTTGAATCTGGTCTCGGAGGGTGTTGTAGTAAGGTCCTAGGAGTCCCTGGAAGTGTTTTCTAACCATCTAGAAAGATAAGCGACCATGCTCTGGCGGTAATCTCGCGGATTCGGGGGATTAATGCGTAGTGGCCTCAAAAGGGGAATAATAACTAGTCTGTGGTTTGATATGCAAAACCTCTCTGAGAACGTCAAACTATAGTCACACCCTGTAACAAGTGCCCGGGTAAGTGTCCGGCGCGACCAAACACGCCAGGACCCAGTATATATGGCGGGAGACGTCTGTACGTGAGACATGATTCATCACTCGGAGTGCGTTGGTCGGGTGACTAATGACACAATATGTACAGCCGCATTTGAAAAGTATTGGCACCTCCGAGCCAAACTCACGAGGCAGTCCTTTCTGCTTTTCAACCCTCATATTCGAGACAATTGCCAGAGAGAGCTGCCATGACTCTATTGCGGTCATACCTATCAATAAGTTGAGTATGCGCGAGTGCCATGGATTTTGGTGGGCTACAATTCATGAACGACTCAATATAGTAGGGTGCCAGTACTTTTCGAATGCGGCTGTACGTACAACAGCAGACTACTCGAATCAGAAAGATGAATCAAGCGTATTTTATGGAGTACTCGAGCGCGGGCGTCGGTTGGTATTGATCGGAAAGGGATGTATGTAGACTTTAACGTCCTTTTCACGCGGCCAGCTGGCAGTTTCGGCCATAGCTGCGGAAGTGTTGCATCTGAGAGTCTGTTTCTGTTTTCTCTCGGGTTAATAGGTGGCTCGGCTATTCCGGTGGATTCCTAGACGTCGCTCGCCGTATATATCAGGCGTCTGTTTTTAAAGCCGAGTCGTGCCAGCTGTGCACTGGCGGAGAAGGGTAAAGATAATGTCTGGGTGAATCGCAGATGCCGTGATTGAACAAAATGTATACTTGATTATCGAAATTGAAGTCTCATATCTGTATAAACACTACAAAACCTCTGGGAACAAGCCGGGAGATTCATAGTTATTGTTTTTCCTTGGTGACGGCTTTTGTGCGCCTAAGATTTCGTGATGAGGAAACGCTGAGATATTTGAGCATACAGGGAACTACACAACAGTTTTAAACAGCGTTCGGGAAACGTTATATGTATCGCATATGTACTGCCACTGGGAAAATAAGCATCACCCTCGGAATTGGTTTGCGATTTTCCCTTTCTCTGCCAAGTATTTATTGAGTAGGACGACTAAATTTATATATATATGCGCAGTTCGTTATATTAGATCTTTCGCGCATATTGCCACAAGTATCACCATGAACCCATGTATAGTGTATCCTTGGTCTGGTTGGTTTTTTCTCCGTTATATAAATTATTCATGCATGCAGCCTTTCTACATCCCCAGATAGTTTGGCGGGTTCATTGAGCAAGCAAATCAAGCATAGGTGCTGCGATCATACAAAAAGAAGTTGGAATGTCCTCTAAAGCGCGAATGTGGCACGCGATAGAAGGCAATCCTTCGATTTTTGAACGCGATCCGGAAAAAGTCCATGTACGGCCTGTAGACCTCCTCCACATCGTTCAAGCTCGATGGTGGGCGGAATACATATTGGAGGACGCGGGTAGGGGCCGCAAACTCCTCTGCCGCATAGTCGCCGGGGCACGCCAGGTAGCCCACGACAAGGTCCCGGCCCGTGCGGTTGGAGCGGTGTTCGAACTTGGGCCGGAAGTCGCCAAAGTGGCAGAGACGGAGGAGACTGTGCTCGCTGGACTCGGCTCCTGTTTTTTCTTCTTTTTTTTTCAAAGATCAGTCATGAGTATCGATGTGACAATTAAAGCCATAAATATCATGCATGCACTTGTCTGTCTGTATCCAAGAGAATGGGAATGGGAATTGGGGGGGGGGGGGAGTTTGGTATATAAGTACCTTCCATCACAACACACGGCACCTCCGTTGCTAGAAAGGTGTTGAGCTCGAGCATCAAGAGAAGTGAAGAGACCTCCGCAAGCCCGCTGTAAGGTACCCTCGGCTTCAGCTCGGGACCCATCCCAAGCAGGCTCCTCAGGATCTTGCGGAACGGGTTAAAGTTGAGATTGTTGCTGTCACGCGCAGATGTCCAGCTCTTGATGGGTCCCTGCTTCTCCCCGTCCTCGACAATCCACTCGATGAAGCCGCCATAGAGACTCTCCAGCTGGGCATAGCGCCAGTCGGGGTCCGTCGCATGGTATGGCGGGAAGCGCGTCATCCCATCTTCGTCGGTGTCGGTAGCACTGTGATCATCCGGTAGCTTCCGGGCCCTGAGGGGCTCGAGAAAGGCCCCCGAGAAGAGATAGCTCATCACCAGGTATCTGGCGCCCGCACGGTAGAAGCTCTCCTCGCCGTGCTCGGTGATCCACTCGATCTGCACAATCTCCTGGAACTGGTTAAGCCAGCCCGCGAGCATGCGGCTGATCTGCTTGACGGTGAGGAGCTCGTCAAAGGTGGGGGGTGCCGCGGCGAGGCCCTCGCAAAAGGCCTTTGTGGGCGGCGTTGGGTAGTGTTTCTCGGCGAGGTCGAAATGGTTCCCTTCCCACTCGAGGGGGAGCTTGCTGGCCCGCGCGGCACGTAGGCAGTCGTCGAACATGAGGAAACGCTGTGAGGCTGCTTTACGGAGCAGGGTTCGCGTGTTGGACGTGAGCAGGCCGCGGAGGGAACGGCATGTCGAGGAGAGGTTTAGGATGTCGATGGGGCCGTTGAGGGCTTTGAAGATGGCGAGATGGATCTCTGAAGGGAGGGAGAGGATGCAGACTGACATGTTTGTTGTGGTGTCTGCGCGCGTTGGGCTATTGTGAGTTGAATCAATACAATAATATCACTAGGTTCAATTACCGTCAGAGGATAAGCTGTGGGGGAAGGAGGACTGGAAGTAGATAGATAGCTGATATATGAGAAGAACTGTAGATATATACTCAGCTGTCCGGGCAAGCAGGTGTGTAGAGTGCTACATAATACGTAGAAGTGCAATATGTATATGTATGTAGCTGTAGGGATTCGGGAGCTACTCTAGAGTACATACAGACATGCAACACCTTTGGTATATCCCTGGTCAGATACCCCACAATCATTGGCCATGGGCAACTTGGCAGCCTGAACTCTCCTCCCGCAGGGTACTTGGCAAGTGTTACTAATTATAAGTATATGCATATATGCAGAGAGAGAGTGTGTGTAGAATAGGTACATATGTATCTACACAATATCTCGCTCAAGAGGAAATGAGTGGAATTGGACGTTGCAGTATAATCGAGGTGGGTCATTCATTAGATCTGATCAACCATGAAAACCAGGCTTCAGCGGAAAGGGGTCCCCATGTGTTTGTGCAGGTCAAGTATTCGGGGTCTGTTCCTGTTCTTCGTCTTCTTCATTTGATCATGTCTTTTCCTCGACTGCTCTCCGCGCCTTAACGAAAAAAAAAATACAACTTACTGCTAGTTCTGAGCATCCAAAAGAAAAGAAAAAAAGGGAAGATAAAAGAAAATAAATAAAAAGGAAATTCTGGAAATATCGCGTGCAAACGTAAGAGGCGGCCAGCCTATAACCCCCCCCCCCCCTCCCCCCACACAGCTGGTGATATACACATGTACTACAGATATACAAAACTAGAGCGTCGAGCTCGCCAACCAAAGCTTCAGTATCTCCTGTTCCAACACCTCGACCACCTCCTCACGATGCCTCATCCGCGCCAACGAAACCATCGGAACAAGCTCTCTTTCATACCAGAAGGTGTCATGCCCAGGCACTTGCTTCGAGAATATCTTCCTGACCACATCCGCCCGCCCCGTTATACACGCCAGGTTCAGCGGGTCGAACCCGCGCAGGTTCCTGGTCACAAGGTCGCACTCCTCCTGCTCTAGTAGAAACTCCACCACATCCCACCTTTCGCAGTAAAGCGCCAGAATCATCGGCGTGTCGTTGTCTCTATCCACCACGTCCACCTCCGCCCCATACTCCAGCAGAACCTTCAGACATTCCAGATGCCCATACTCCGCTGCGAGGGTAAAGCAACTGCTCATGTGATTGTTCCTCGCGTTCGGATCCGCGCCCGCTGCTAGCAGCTCACGCAGGATCTCCACCTCTCCGTTGCGGCAGAGGTCGAATGCCATCGGCGGATACCCCGGCCAAACATCCGGCACTGCACCGCGCGACAAGAGGAGACGCACGACGGGGAGGTGGCATTTGTAGACCGCTATAGCAAGCGGGTAACGTCTGTCGTTATCCTCGGGAGGCGTGTGGGGGACACCGTGGTCGAGGAGGGTCTCCACAGATTTGAGGGACCCGTGGTCACAGGCTTCGCGGAGCGCAATCTCCTCCATCTTGGTCGCCTCGTCTGACGCGGGGGTGTGGGCGAGAATGGTTTTTATGAGCGGGACGTGGCCTTCGATGGAAGCCCATACCAGCGCGGGGGTGAAGTCTTTGTTGGCGAGGGCATGGCGCAGCATGAGGCGGGACAGGCTATGGTGGAAGGAGCGACATGTTAAGAGAAGGTTTAGAAGGGGGCCGGGAGAGAGGTTTTCGGCAATGGTGAAGAGGATCTCGTTGGGGACGGTGGAGAGCATGATATCGACTATCTAAATATCGAGACACGACGTTAGAAAAGTAGTACTGTAAGTGGTGTACTCCTTCATGAGCTGATCAGCCCTAGCTAGCTGGATATATAAAATAAGGGAGCCTGTGACTCATTCTACACCGTGCAACGGATGTGGTAGGGATCGGCTGGCGCTTAACTGGGTGGGGGCCGAGTCGATACATATATATATAGTAGGTCGTTCCCTGCGTGTTTATAGCGATATAAGGTCGTCTTCACGGAGTAGTATATCAAGCAAGTACTGCAAAGGGAGGAGAGCTTTGAAGTAGATTGAGCAAGCATAAAACCTTTGGGGGGAGGGGTCAAACCAAGAAAAAAAAAAGGCTTCGGGGAAATCAAAACCACATCTCTATGGCCAACGTTCTACTGATACCTGGCCAGGCGGGCGCATCCTTAACTACATGTATATGTATATATGCTACCGAAGTTATTGTTGATCCTAAAGACAGATAGGAGACATACATCTATATCAAAGGGCTGTATATACATGTACTTCTCTTGGCACCGACTTTACTGGCTTGCAGAGACATACAGCCGTTTTTGAAATTGATCAATTTGTTTTAATTACATGCAATCAAACGGATATGATGATTCCCTCTGGGTATCTGTATATCAATGTAGTGTTGCGAAGTACGGGCTCTTCTTCGAACTTGGAAGAGCCAAGCGGGGAGAAGCCGGTAACGTAGATAGGTGAGCTTAGTCTACTATATGCAGCGGGAGATAGGTAAGAGATCGAAACCCGATCATAATCTACCCCAAAAAACATCACACGAAAATACCGTCCGAGTGATAATATATGAAGATAATATATACTCTGTATGTAAGGAAGCAGAGCTAGGTCACCACACATGTGCACTATGATGTACAATGGCACGGCACGTAAGGAAGAGGTACATACTTTGCAAATGGAGAACGACGGTTTATTCTCTTGGATCGGAATCACCAACTATCCATACCGGAACCTTTCAGGACTGATGGCAAACAGTTATACCAGCAAGAGATAATAGAGCCATGGCTCCGCGACATTCGCTAAGAAGGTACATACATTTTGTTCTATGGTGTTCCTCCTCACCTGGATATCCTAGGAATAGATCATGTCAAGGTCGGGAGAAAAGATGCTGATGTGGGGAAAGGGTTTAATAAACGGAAGTAGGATTTCCGGACCTGTCTGCTCTATCGTTCCGGAGAGCACTAGGTACATGACTCTAGGCATAAGAATCTGACCATAGGGTTCTTATGCGCTATCACTCATCTCTTGATATCCCCAGGTGGAGCGCGGCCGGAGGTGTGACTGGTAATTTATTAAAGCACTGCTATTAGACGTTGGGCACTAATGGGTTGGAGAAAACTGAAAACTGAACAGGCCGTAAGCGTCATCTCTCCTCATGGTCAAGCTGTAATATATATATCTTAACTCGAGTGCTAAGAAACAAGTTGGTGAGGGGTCCTCTAAGCCACCCTGGTATTTTTCTCCTAGGGTCGATTAGTCAAGGTAAGGGAATAACTACTTCAAAAGTTACAGTCGATGTTAGGATACAGATCTTGGTGGCTATTAACCAAAGCTCTACATCGTCTTTTTCGAATCAATACATGTGGCAATAATCTGAACATTTCTGGAGCGGTGCCAGTTCTTAGCAGTCAGCGAGTGATTCGCGATCACGGTCCCGTGCCGCACACCTACTTGCTTGCCCGAGTAGTATATAGTTGACGAGAGGTTAGTTCACTTTTCCGATGATACAAGTATATCTAGGGAATACAAAGTGGATATAAAGCCAAAGATAGGTCTGTCAGTGTTTGTTCCTATGTATTCAAACATGGCTACATGTTATCTAATATCAGTTCCCTCCCAGTGTCGGGGTCCTTCGTCGCAACCCACCAAACAGGAACACTCCCAAAAAAACAGCAAAGAAGACTGCAATTAAAGATTTCTATGATACAGAAGTACTTTCATGCAGTATAGCTAAGCAGTAAAGAAATCTGTCTGGGAGCTATTGTATATTACATGAAACGTGGGGATACAACCCGTGCCTAGGTATGCCGTAAGGACAGGAAGAGAAAGCGTTTTTCAATTTTCTCCAGCTAAAGAGGGATATCTTAATGTAGATACTAGCCTAGTTCGCCTTCCAGAGGCAGTTTTGGAAGGTGGGAGGTTCGAAATGTGAGGGGGGGGGGGGGGGTTGAATTTAATGCGCACGGCGAACTATGGTGCTGAAACTGGATAGGTCCCGGGGCGGCGCGCGTGGGCTCGCGGTGGTCTGACTGTCTTGGGCTTCTCGGGATGACCGGGGGTGTACTTGAACTCGGGTAATTCTGGGTGGGTCTTGTGCTTATGAGACTGAAATGGTGGCTGATTATGGGTAAAGGACACGCCGGCTGACTGTTTGATTTCATTCCAAAGGCGGATCGACTCCTCCGTGAAAACTGAGATGTCTATCATCTGAGCATCCGCTTCACCGGGGGGAAATTGCCCGGCAAAACCTCCATTAAACTCGTGGGTCTGAGAATCGATTCCGTGGAAAGCGTTAAAGTGTGTATTACTTGATGTCGGGGGCTGCCATCCCGCGGGATATGGGCTCTGGCTCACCCAGGTACCCACCTGCCTAAGCAAGTCTCCTCCAATAGCTGATCCGGGTTCGGTGAGGCATTTTGTGACTTTCCTGGGCAATCTCGAAGCCAACAGGACCTTAGAGAATCTGGCGCCGATGGTCTCAAAAATGGGTTGGCACACAAAAGCCTCTTGATGAGAGAGGTCGCACAGCTGCTCACGTTGTATTCGTCCAATTTCTTCACCGGCAAAGGAATTTCACAAGAACAAAACCGGTAAAGGAGTTTCATATCCGTCTGTAGTGGCGTTTCTGTTGTAGGTATAAGTACTCCTGAGACCGTAGTACTCAGGCCTTGGGTATCCAAGGCTGAGTTTGAAGCGAACGGCCAGGTACCAGTCAACAATTCATACAAGAGACAGCCCAACGACCATATATCGACCGCACATGTAAAGTAGTCCCCTAAAGGAGAGGCGATCGGATCCGGAGTCCATAGACCAAGCAGCTCCGGCGCAAAATAGCCTTCAGTCCCAACTCCAGTCCTGAATTTCGTGCCCTTGAGTATTTTTGATGAACCAAAGTCCGCGACCTTCACTCTCAAAGGTTCAAGTGATGCGATGAGGATGTTCTAGATTCGATACGTTCAAGATTAGCGAGCGGCATAGTCAATGGCGATGGAAACGGGACTGAAGGGGTATGTAGAAACCTGAGGCTTGAGGTCACGGTGGCAGATCTGTCGCTCGTGCAGAACAGTGAGCGCTTCAAGCACTTGCCTAGTGATCTCGCGACTAGTGTCTTCAGACACGAGGCCTTTCTAGCTCCTCATGTAGTTGCTGAGGTCGCCGTGCTCGATATACTCCATCGCGATGTATAGAAAATATCTGTCCTGGTACCAGCCAAGGAACCTAACAAAAAGGTCATGAGTCGACGCTGTGAAATCAAACAGCACGACTATTAGCACATAGGCCCTGAGAGCTTGACTTTGATGTAATATGTTGGTTATTGTATTGCTCACATCAGCAACGTCGCATAGGGCGTTCAGCTCCCGAGCGTGGCTTTTCGGCTCTAGCATTCGAATTCGCTTTACTGCACGAAAGGCGGGGCCGTCGGTATTCTTTTGCTGCAGAGACACCGTGCCTGACGCCCCGCGGCAAATGTCGCGCTGGTGACTCCAGCGAGTCTCATCAGGCGGGGCGCCATCGGGATAACTCGTTAGGTGAATAACGGTATTACCATCATCTTCGAACTGGGTCTTTAGGCGGTAGGGTCGGACGTCGAAGTAGAAGTCATGTTGCGCCAGTTGAACAGAAAGTCGAGCACTTGGGCAGAAAGTCCTGCACCTCTTATTGGCTGAATCCTTGCAAGTCTTTGCCTAAAATAGTTAGAATTTCTGTCCAACCTGTCCGACTTTCTGTTCAACTGGCACAGCTAAAACGCTCTAATGAGGAGACTGGGTGTGTCAAGTGGGTACATGTAGGTACGTGCCACCCAGAACTGCAGATCGATATATGATTCCGCCCACGAAGGTGTGCATACATGTATGTACTACATGTATACTCTAGAGAAGTACATGCATGTAGATAATGTATAGCAAGTAGATGGAGACGTACTACTTTGTTTTTAAACCAAATTTAAAGCGAAATTTGGTTAAACTAGAAGTGTAAGGGAAATTATATTAAAGTAGCGATCTTGGGATTACTTGCGAGTGATATTCTGTGAAGCCGCGAGAACCCATTTGGCAAGCGCTCGAATATTTCCAACCCGTAATTAATTGATTGATCGTGTGAAAACTACTGTATACTCGGGCCAGCTAAGAATAACCTGAAAATGGCTTAATTTGATGGTAACGACCGTACCTCTGATTCGCGGCTGGAAAAAAAGCTACACCAGCCCCTGCTTGTAGCTTGCATTCTCATGTTCTTATTGCCTGCCCCGAGTATATGACGTTTATGCGTATAGCAATTAACCGTGAATTGCAAGACTGGTAGTTAGTTCAGTGTTACTAAAAGAAGTCACAACATGACAAGATTACTTGCGGGTAACAAAATATAAAAGAAGATCGCGCCATGAAAGTAGCAAAATTTTCATGCTGTCTCAATCTCATTGGTCGCTATAATTCAAGGCTGAACCAGAAGAGTATGCGCACCCCCGCACAAGATATTCCCTGTTACGGAAAGAACTACCTGTTTCTTTTACATTCAAATTCAACTCATGATATCGATACATTCCACACAAGCTAGAATTAACGCCTAATACCGGGCGAGACTATGCCTGCCGACATCTGTTTCCGTGTGAGGGATATACCCCTATATATTACACTCGATAGCCTCATCCAGGCAGTTTTAGAAAGGTTCCACGATGAGGGAGACATTACCATAGACCGAGGACGGAGCACACTTGTTTATTGTTGTTATTACCCCAAGACAGTGCAAGCCGCGATCCTTCACTTCAGTCTGAGACCCCCTACCGCACTTGAACAGTTGAGATTTGGTTCAACGCCACTCTTAAACTCTCTGAGTGTGTGGAGGTTCTCATCGATAAGAACTTCTATGGACTCACCCAACTCTACACCCCGGGCAAGGAGATTAAACTTGAGTACATATCCTTTTCAACCACAGGGACATATTTGAAATACAGAGCCGCTGATAAAAGAGTTAGTATTATTGCAGTATCTGGCCTCAACGGACATACATATGGTTCCTGGGCTGGAGAGGCCGATAGTGAGGGATGCAAAAAGATGTGGCTACGACACTTCTTTGAAAAGGACAGACCTGAATGTAGGACAATGATATTTGGCTATAACTCAAGGTTGAACGAGCCGGGTATTCATACTCTCTCTCACTATAGTAGTGAATAGACAAGGCTCGGAAAGGATGCGAGGTATGAGCAATTTTCTTTTCATGGTACCTGGATAGTGACTAGGAGTGCTGGCAGCGGTAAGGCCAGGGGCCAGGGAACGATTGAGGATCGAGTTCGCAACCGAATCGCATAGCTGACCTGTATACGGTGGAGAAGGATCGACCTATAGCGCTTATTGGCCATAGCTTTAGGAGTATTATCATAGCAGATGTGAAGATATCGGAACGTATGACAGCTACCAGCTGGAAAACAGAGTACACGACCACTTCAACATCGACAAAAGATTGGCAGGAGAGATTCAAACTAGGTTGTTGAAACAATCAAATGGAATGTAAGTACTATCGGGCAACATGTTCCTCGACCTACGCAACAATATACAGTGTTAACGAGCCTTGAAGGTTCTTATGGGTGAAATTTCAGCTTGACTTCATCTACGAGCAGCCATCGGAGGAGCATATACGAGACGCCTTGGACTCACTTCCAACTACGATGGCAGCTACCTACGATCGAATCATGAAAGGAATAAATGACCAGACCGACGCTACAAGAATGCTGGCACACCGCGCATTGGCCTGGATCATTAACGTGAAGAGACTATTAATAATAGAAGAGTTATTATTCGCTGTGAGCCTCAAACCTCCCGAAAGGCCCTGTTATTCTTATAATGGGAATTATGAGGGGTATTCAGAGAGCGCTGTTCTATCCTCTTGCCGCGGACTTGTCACCAATGCTTGGGGGACAATAAGACCAATCCATTTCACTGTGCAAGAGTTTTTAAGAGACAGGGGTCTAGAGCCCTCCAAGGGTGTCAATGCGAGTATCTTTGTTACTCAAAGCATACTGGTATACCTGCGCTCCGTCAGACTCGAAAGAGATTCTGCCTCTGATTTGTTTTTGGCTTCTCCATTTCCACAAGACCTTTTAAGATACACATGCGGCTTTCTCGGCCACCATTTGTGCGAGGCCGGGAACCCGCTACCAGCATGTCTTCTCAAGCTGGTAAAGGTTTTAATGCAAAAAAGACACCACAACCTTCGATGGATTATCCTTCAAAAATGCGGGGATCCGGAGCTCGTGAGGATCGATGCTTACGAGCCGGTCAAATTCTTTGATCCAAATATTAATGACTTTAATCTTAGCCCATTAGGTCTGTTATCGGGTCTCGATCTGCTACCTCTATATTTTCAGCTATACCCAAACGTGGTCGAAAAAGAGGAGTTAATGGCAGTGTTCCACGCCGTTGTCCGTGGCGGATCAGTATTTGCGGTAAAAGCATTGCTGCGTCGCGGTTGTGACATCGAATCCCGAGATTCTAGTGAAAACACTCCGCTTATTGCTGCAGCCTCTTCTGGGTGTGAGCCGATGGTCTTATTTCTGGTTCGGGAGGGAGCGGATGTGCACCCGCGGAGCGAAGATGAGTATTCAGCTTTGGACTACGCCTGTGAGAGGGGCATGGCCAGAGCGGTTCGGATCCTTCTCGAACGTGGCGCAGATCAGAATGTCCCAATCGAAGGTTCATCTCTTCTTACTGCGGCATTATGGGGAAATGCGGCAGTCGTCAAAGTGCTCCTAGAATACGGTGCGGACGTTAATGTCGAGATATTGGGTCGTTAGAACGCTCTCCAATCCGCGGTACGTGAAGGAAATGCAACGGTAGTCCAAGCCCTCATCGACGGTGGTGGCGACGTCAATCAGACAAATCATCTTGGTGGAACTCTCCTCTGTGATGCAGTTCGTTGGGGCAACGTGGGGATTGCTAAAGCACTTATCGCTGCTGGCGCCGACATCGAGAAGGGCTGTCCCCTCTATGTTGCGGCCCTTGATGGATCCGAGTCATCGCCGAGAGCAGTCAAAGTGCTTCGGGAGGTGGGCGCCGAGGTGAACACCGAGTGGGGGCATTACGGCTCCGCTCTCTGGGCCGCGGCTATAGAGGGCAATCTAGAGACAGTTCAAATACTTCTAGATGCTGGTGCCCGTGTCGGTGTCGGTCTCGGCGTGTTCAGTTCCAAGAGTGATGCGCTCGAGAAGGTGGCTTCGCGGGGCTTGGTCGTCTTTGTCAAAGCACTTCTCGATTCTGGCGCTGATGTTAACCCTCATACTGCTCTCTACGCTGCGGTTTCCAATAATGGATCGGCGGAGACAGTCCAAATGCTTCTAGCTGCCGGCGCCGATGTCAATCTTCACAGATCAGGTGGGCGCAACCCTGCCCCCCCGTCCGCGGCTCTCCGGGACCACACAGAGATAGTTAACATGCTTCTGAGTGCTGGCACTGATGTCAATTGACACGGCACGGATGGTACCGCTCTCAGGATTGCGGCTGACCGTGGCCATGTAGAGATATTTAAGATCCTTCTGGATGCTGGCGCCGATGTCACTATCCAGAGGAGTAAAGATCAAGGTACGGCTCTCTATGCAGCAGCCGCACATAGAAAGATATCGGGAGCAGCGGAGATTGCTCAGCTACTTGTGGATGCTGGTGCCGATGTCAATGCCGAGGGCGGAGAGCACGGTAGCGCCCTCGTAGCTGCGGCTTACACAGGCTCGAGGGAAATAGTCAAAATACTATTGGAAGCTGGTGCTGATGTTAATAGACAGGCCCACGGGAAATACCTGTCACAGTGTGCTCCCGGAGCTGCGGCGGGGGCGGGCGGGATAGAGATACTTGAATTGCTTCGAGCTTCGGGCGCCCGCGACAATATTGATGGGGAGTACTACGGTCCAACTCTCTCCCACGCAGCGGGCTGTAGCCATATAGAGATGGTTAGATTTCTTCTAGATCCTGGCAATGATGTCAATATCCCGGCCGAAGAATACCCCACAGTACAATTGCTTTGGTGCAGAGGGGTCATTTCATCCTCGTGGAAGGGATAATAATCGGCCCAATGACGTAAAGTCGTACTCTTTTGTTCTTTTGTTCTTTTGTGGTAACCCACCGGAAATGTAAGGTATAGGGGGTGGTCTTTTCGCCTGAGTGGTAATTTAACGGAAATATGAGATATAGATGGTGGTCTTTCCCTATTGAGAGGTAAATAAGCTTCAGCCTGCTGTTTTGGGACTTGGCGAATTTTCTTGTCAAAGTATCAGGCTAGTCTTTGGGGCGTTATCGGGTGGGAAGGGTGAACTACCCTTTCCCTCCCACTACCCTACATGATATAGTGATAGAACATAGAGCTTGAATCTTCCCCCATGGCCTAGATGGTAGAGCTTCTAATGTACATCCATCATGATGCAAGCTCAATCCCCGGTGATAGCTGCATAAATATTTTTTTAATTCAGTATCAGTATGTTTCTAACTAATAGCATAGGATAACCCTATTACCATTGTTCATCCAATTAGATCCACTATTGTTTGGGATTTCATCCTTAAATGAGGGTAACCTAGTTCACCTCGTATTCATGGTAATTTACAATTTCGAAATTGTACCCTAGGGAATACGGAAAAGCTCTCAGCGCTGTGGCTACCTAGGGTAATATAGAGATATTCAAGACGCTCGTAGCAGCTGATATCGGGGTCAACATTGAGGTGGAAGAATACGGTAAAGCTCTCTACATCGCAGCTCATGGATACCATTCAGTGGTGGTTAAAGTACTCCTGGATTATGGCGCCGATATCAATATCCAGTTGGATGCGTACGGTATTGCCCTCTGCAGCGCGATCAACAAAGACGATATAAGCGCAGTGAGACTACTTCTGGATGTTGGCGAAGATGTCAATATCCACAGGGGGCGTACAGTACCGCTCCCTACGTTGCAGTTAGCAGGAAACATAGCGAGATAACAGAAATGCTTATAGCAGCTGGTGCCGATGCCAATACGGTGGGAGGAGAGCACGGCACCGCGTTACACGCTGCGATTAGCGTAGGAGATGAAGAGATGGTCGAAATGCTTCTGAAGGTTGGCGCCAATGTCAATCTCCAAGGCAAGTACTACAGTAGCCCCCTCCATGTTGCTGCTTGCAATGGTGAGACGCGGATGGTCAAAATACTTGTCGACGCTGGCGCCGACGTCGATATGGTGGGAGAGGATGGTACCGCTCTCCAGATTGCGGCTAGAGAGTGCTGGAGTCCAGATACAACCAAAACACTTCTGGCAGCTGGTGCCGGCATTAATGTCATAGGCGGCAAGTACGGCACCGCTCTCCTAGCTGCAACGGATAAGGGGTCGATAGCGAAAGAGATCAAAATACTAGTCGACGCTGGTGCCGACGTCAACATTGAGTGGGGGGAGTACTGTACTGCGCTTCAGATGGCTGCTGGCAGGCACTCGATAGAGATACTGAGAATTCTTTTGAACGCTGGCACCGATGTCAATATCCAAGGAGGCAAGTACGGCACCGCGCTCCGAGCTGCGACGTACAAGGGATCGATAGAGATGGTCAAAATACTAGTTAGAGCTGGCGCAGATGTCAATGCCTGGGTGGAAGGGAAAGGTGCCGCCCTGCAGCTTGCAGTCCGCAAGGGCTTGACAGAGATAAGTCAGTACCTCCGAGATGCTGGCGCGGATGAAGAATCGTCTGGTTAAGCTCAAACAGGGAAAATGCTTGCGTCTGGCCGTGTGGCAGAAGGATTTCCAGTGTTTAAGAATTTCAGGGTCGATATTTAAATTCGGTGGGAGCTTCAGGGTGGGGAGGGTCACTAGAGGGGTCATCATTTACCCATTTCTCAATTTTATTTTTTTATGTTGTGGCGGGTTTTCTTTATTTACTATATTTATGAGTGATGGATTAGCTAGGGGGCAATTTGGAATCAGTTCTTGGGGTGGGGAATATAACCGTAGGGCTAGGTTTATGGCTTTATTAGATTAGTGAGATGATTTTCCTGGGTACGTGATTGATAAGAGTCGAGTGATAATATATGGTTAGATGGAACGATTGCAAACCAGGACTATTTTTCGTCCCACATGACTTGAATATCAGTGATTTCGTGATCACCGATAGGTAACCTAGATATCCTAGGAGCTGACGCTCTCCCGAAATTATCTTGGTTAGCTGGGTGCACTATATAACGTGGTTAGGTGTTTAGGATGAAGTCTCAATCTCTTACTCGATTTATGCATTGTGAGCCTGCTTGGAGGATGTATGACAATGTAGCGGGGGAAGGTTCAACGGCAACAGATTTGACTCGAGATATTCAATTTTTTATATATAGGTTGATGACCTTAGTTTGAAACTCAGCACCAGTAAATTCCGAAGCTACTAGAGTGTCGCTCACAAGCTCAACATGAGGCCATATATAATGGGAGCTGATAATATAATGTAGGTGCGCATTCAGCCTCCGGAGTCCGGATACCCCCCCTACATAGTTCGCACCCCCATACCGGATTGTGCAGATGCTCTATTCTACACCGCTGGTGAATAGAGGTGGTGTAGTGGTACTTTCCCGCGCGACATCAGCATGTATATATTCCTCAGCTCCCGGCTGCGCCCTGCACAACGGCCATGGCGAGGAGAGAGTGTGGTCGGAACATCGATGCGGGGTTTGTGCAACGCACCTTAAAAGCACGTGCTCTACGGGTACCTGCATACTTAATGTACAAGGCTCTGGCATAAAGTCACGGAACGGACATGGGTCTGCATTGAAGATACGCGAGTGAGATTCTTTGCTATAGGGAAACACTTCTGGTCGTGACGAAAAAATGGAAAAATGGAAAAATAGAAAACACCACACCCGTTCACCCAGTTTCACCCGTCCGACCTGTCCGATCACCTATTTTCACCTGTCCGCCCCGTTTACAGGTATTGACACTTAGTACCGAGTATGGCCACCATTTGCGCTGATAACAGCGGCAACCCGCTCAGGCATGGAGTCTACAAGTGAGACGATCTCCTCACTAGTTATCATATCCCATTCCTCTTGGATTGCAATACGAAGAGAAGAGTTAGTTGTGGAACGAGGTACTCGGCGACCAATTCTGTCCTTCATAATTCTCCAAACATTCTCAATGGGGTTGCAGTCTGGTGACCTATCAGGCCATGCAAAAAAATAGTCTAGAATCCCTAATTCCTGGAGTACTGCCGCTGTAAATTTGGCTGTATGAGGGGGAGCGCCATCTTGCATTAGATAGACATAGTCAAGAACACTTCGAGAGCGCTCTTGCCAAAAAGTATACAGATGAGGATGGACAATGTATTCGCAGTAGTTTGGACCGTTGATGGTGGCGTCCCACTCTTTCTTATCCCCAAAAACAAGAGGCCCCTTCATATTGCGGTAGATACATCCCCAAACCATAACAGTCTCCAATTTTCGGAATTTAGGAAGAAGACATGCCTCTAAATACTCTTCTTGGGGTAGCCTTGTTACCCATATATTGCCAGCAAAACCTCCGACGTTGAACGCACTCTCATCAGTCCAAATTACTTTACTATATTCCTCAGCAACCCAATCCGTTACTGACTGCGCCCACTCTAATCGCTTGACTTTGGCTTTAACGGAGAGAAAAGGCTTCACCCGTGCTACCCGACACTGATAACCATGATCTGCAAAAGCTTGACGAATGGTTCTTTCATTAACAATAATACCCGTTTCTGAGGCAATTTGGGACAAAGGTTTCCGTTGATACTCTTGTGATAATGTTGCATGTGTAATTAATCGTTCACGAACAGGGGTTGTAAGAACACGGGGTCGTCCCATTCTTATTCTAATCGGAGTTGAAGGTTGTTGACAAATTGTGTAGGCGGTAGTGAGAGGAATTCGTAACTTTTTCCTAATTCTACTGAACGGCCAAAATACAACGGAGCGCAAACCTCTAACTTTTGAGTGGATGCTATTAGAGATCTCAATTCTCAAGCTAGTAGTTGTACGGGTTGGTAGGGAGGGTTCGGCAGCGTGAGGATTGGAGGGTGCAGCAGCGTGAGGATTGGAGAGCTCGGTGGAAGCACAGAACTCAGTGGAAATGGAAGGCTCGGCAGAAGCGGAGGCCTCTGATCTCTTATCACCCTCATGATTGCAAAGGAATTGGATTTGAAGTGAATGAACCATTTTCAAGTTACTTCTTAACTCTGGAATTAGAATAGTAATCTTTGCGGGGAATCAAGCCTTTTTTATGGAAATCATTTTACCTTTTTCTAAGTATTTAAAATCAACTGGGCATCCCCGGATACCTCTTTATTTGATAACCCGCTGATTCCTGTTTATTTGATAACCCGCTGTTTCCTGTTTATTTTACAATCCATTGTTCCTGTTTTAAAAGTGGGCATACTACGATGGTTTTGAGTTGCAATGCAATATTACTATGTTCACTATTATATGCCCCTCGAAAGATCTTACACCTACATTTGGATTCCGGTAGTTGCGTGACTTTATGCTAGAGCCTTGTACTCGCATACCAGGGTAAGAACCAGAAAATGACAGTGTTAAAGCCGAGAACGCCAAGAAATGACCGGGATCATTGATAGGGAAATGATCGAGATCTTGGTATCAAAATCATATTGCCGTCACTGTAACGAAATGTAGAGAAGTTTCTAGATATTTCGATTTGTGAAAATAAAATGGCAAAGAATAGTACTCCAGTATCACTAGAAATCACAATCAAAAAAACCCGCTACTATTCACCCGCTACTCTACCTGCCTCCCATACAATAATGGCTGTCAAAAGCATTGAAGTCTGCCACAAGCAGCGGATTTATATCCATGCGCTTCGTTTTAAAACGGGTTGGACCCTTCAGAGAATTGAAAGTAATCGAAATCTCATTGTTAGTACAGTTTGTGCCGTAATCAAAGGTCCGGAAACACCTAGAAAGAAGAGAGGAGGGCCAGTCATTATCGATACACCTACAAGGAAAGCTTTGATAGATCGTGCCACATTAAGCGCCGAGAACCACCGCAAGCCACTGTTTCAGATCGCCCATGAGGAAGGCATCCAAGCTAGCCCTGAGACTGTTAGACGCGCATTTTTGAAAGAAAGTTATGTTCGCCATATGGCAAGGAAGAAGGTTCTTTTGTTAGTCAGACATAAGGGGAGGAGGCTACAGTTTGCTCGTACTCATCAAAATTCTACGATCGATGACTGTAGGAAGACTATCTTTACCGACGAGTGCTTTAAGTGGCTTAGTGGGAATGCTGGCAAAGTGTGGATCACACGGAAGATTGCCAGAGAGGAAGTCTTTATTCAGGATTGTGTCTGCCCTATCTTTAAAAAAACGAATTGTATTATGATATGGGGTGCTATCGTGGGAGGTACAAAATCAGAACCAGTCTTTTGGGACCGGCCAAATTGGGGCAATATTACTAGACATGCCTAAGTTGACCGGATTATGCAGCCTGTGTAATGGGGACAGGCTTTCCACGTATCGCTAGAATCTGATGGAAAGATGTCGCCGTGCCAGATAGAAATCAGGTTTAGATTATTCAAAAGATTTGTCGCTAAGAACTCAATAATCTTTAAGGGCTCTGCTACTAAGTAGAAAATAATTAATAGCTCTCTTATGAAGACTGAGGAATCAGGTAGTTGGGCGGGAAGGATCCTGAGTACTTATACTCCAAAGAATTCCGTTCCCTGCTCCTACTCCCTCATTAAGTTCCGGTCATGCCTTCCTGCGGAAGGGGAGCAATAACACCGCCATCCTGCTTCTCCCTAAGCGCTAGGGGGTGCTTCCGGTTCCGAAGGCAACTACGCTTAGTCAAAGCCTTTGTAACACCTGCAGTCTTGGTTGTCGCACAACCGGTACCTGCATGAATGAGCTGCCGCTCAAGAGTAAGCTTAATCTTTGCTGTAGAGCTCTTCGCTTATTGTAGACTTCCCAGGCATGGTCCCTGCCGATACCAGCGGACTCGCGATGCACAGAGGATATAGAGGATCGCCGAGCACTCAGAGCTTCACTCTGGATGCCCTTCTAATCATTGGCGAGGCATAGACTCTTCAGTCATTACTCCCATGAATAGATTCTCTTCTTATCGCTCAGAATGTCGTTACTCTGACAGCTGGTAGCTAACCACACTGCCGGTACTTGCATGTCATTGTGCGACTGGCTTTTATCAATAACTCTCAGCATGTAACCGGGCCCTGTATGTACTCATACACGAGACAGTTGGAATGGCTCCGTTACAGCTTGCTCTCCATCCCTTCTAGTTCCATGGCTGCCTGAACTTGGGTAGTCGTTTATGGGTAATGGAAGATGGTGCACTGGCTCACAGGGCCAGATCTTCTCAACAGCAGCGTAACTGATACAAAATGCCCTCATTAGTGTGGCCAGCCAACTCTCCGAAACTAAACCCTATCGAAAATGTTTAAGGTGTATTCAAGGGTAGATTGGCATCCAGAGTACCAAGACCTTGAGGCGATGATGAGACGAAGAGTGCTATCTTGCAGGAGTGGAATAGAATCACGGCTAAGGAGATTTTGATGTATGTTGATGTTATAGGAACTGCGGAACACTGTTCTAGAGGCTTAGGACAGTGAGGAATACGAGTGACGGGTTGTGATGCGAGGACGGTCGGGTAACGGAAGGACAAGCATAGAAAGGTATTGGGTAGTGTGGGGGCACGCGGTGTTACCACACTAGTCCCATACTATTATGACGGCATGCTTACTATGGGGTGTCTCACCCGAAATAGAATAGGAAGCGGGGCTTACGGCTGTAGGCTGTTCTACTTAGGGAAGTAGGTCTAAGATAATAGTATGGTACAGCCCGATGACTGGCAATTGCAAGGTTCATGGTTACCTGTCGGAATTAGAATGGAGGACGGAACTATGCGGGGGCGCTTTTCTATATGGGTTATCTTCGGGAGCATTATCTTATTCTATTATCGTTGTATCCGTTAGTATTAGAAAGCGGGCCTTGGCATAGGTTCCAACATATATAAATAGGGCTCGGTTCTGCGAAGACTTGAGGGTATCATCAACCATCAAGTCAAGGGAATCCAGTTTACAATATCATCAGTTTAAACGCTACAGAATTACCGCTTAGCACTGGCCACTTCCCCAAACACTATATTGTACCTTATCCCTAACTTTTACTCTTTATCTATCGCATAAACTACCAAAGTCTCGATAAGACAACTACCCGCTTAAACCAATACTCTGAGTATTTTGCTTAGTGACGGATAGTCACTGTGCTCTCAGTAGAAGAATAAGCGCTTAGTCTATTAAAAAGACCAAGGTACTATATGCACCCCCGAGTGGCAACAGCAGCCATCAACAACTACCTTTGCGCTACATCCTTCATCATAGGAAGAGGAAGCGCCAAACATCTATACTGCGGATACCTCCACTATACAGGTCTCTTCGCAGAAGCAGGAACCACCGCTACCTTCGAGGAACACGACCCTGAAATCCTCAACTACCCAGAACTCTTCCCAATCCAAGTCACTCTCTCGCAACGGTCTTTCGAACTTGCACACTCAGCCCCCTGGTTCATTGCTCAACCCTGGTGCAGAAGGCAACCACAGCTCAAACTCAAGTAACTTAGCAATGTTAAGGGCTCATCAGCAACGGTCGGAGGAAGACTACAACATGGAGAGCTCAATCGCCTTGAGAGATCGAGGTATATTAGAGACCCAGGCGAAGAGGCGCCACAGGAAAGAGAGAGATGTGCCGATAGGCTCCCTCTTCGCATCGACGAGGCAGGAAGAATCCTATGAGCAGGCAAGGAGGAGGCAGGTAGACCACAGGGAGTTCTCCCCATACGTCACCCCCATCAGAGAGAGATCCTCTACTCAGAGGCCCTCGGTGCCTCGGGTAATGTATGAAGACGAGGATACCAATATGGACGTGGAGGAGCGACGAGTGGAGAACCCTTTCGGCGACCTCATTGGCCAAGAAGTCCAGCGACAAGGGGCCCCCGTGGTGCAGCAGCTCAGCCGCGGGATCGAGGAACTCAGCATGCACGTACGGGATATTCCCATACTCAGGGAACTCACCCGTCAGCAGCAAGAGTATACCAACAAGATCGTCGAAGACCTCCATGCCAAGTTCGCTGGGGACAGGGCCGAGCGCGACAATTAGGTCAACCAGGTCATGGCTCAGCTACGAGTGGAATCCACCGCCGCTACCAGCAACCTCGGTCAAGTCCTTGCGCAGATCGTCGAAGCAACTAGGGCGCATCAGGAAAGGCAGGAACGACAGGATCAGCACATAAACGCCCTGACCAACTTCGTTCAGCAACTCCCCAAAGATGGCCCTGTGCCATTACCTGCGGAGGTTACGGCTGCCCTCGAGAAGATGGAACGGGACAGACAAGCTGGGATGGAAGACCAGTTCGCAGGAACGAAGAAAAACCTGGAGAAGATCATCGAGCAAATGCGGGTGGCAGCCAATAGAATGGCCACAGCCCCTGAAGGCTCAGGGGGCGGAGGCGTAGTACCCCCCAACCTCCACAGAACCCCCCTAGCAATTCCGGAGAGAGACCGGAAGGATCAGGGAGCCAACCCCCCGTACCCCCTCGCTCCGAAGCAAGGAGCCAGCAAAGTGAGCAGGGAGGCAGCGGAGGAAACGGCAACAACGGCAACGGCGGAAATCGCGCAAGACCACGAGACCCATCCCCCTCAGACTCATCCAGCTCCTCGGATTCAGAGGACGACAGACGAGCACGCGAGCGAAGGCAGAGGAAACGGGAGGAGCAAGGGCGCCGTAACAGGCAGCGAGAGGTAGACCTCATGCATCCCCCTCGTGCCACCCTGGGAGATACGCCAAAACAGGCAAAAATCCCCTTCTCTGGAAAGGCCGACGAGGATGTACGGCACTGGATTGACCAAATGGAAGTCTTAATTGAACTTCAGAGGAAAGTCCGGTGGGATGATCAGACCAAAATCCTGTGGGCATCCCTGGAACTCACCGGGAGCGCGGCAAAATTCTGGCGAAACTTCGTGGAACGACTATCGGTGGATCCCAGCATCGGGACATGGGAAGATTTCAAAAATGAATTACGGATGCAATACGGCAATTGGACCAGTCAGGAATAGGCCAAGCAGAAGATGGATAGGCTCCGTCAAACTGGCATGATCGATGACTACATCAACGAGATGCAGAATCTGGAATGGGA